GCTATCCTTGTCCTCTCTGGTCCGGATGACATGGCGTCCCAGTGTTCCATAAAGAACTTCAAATCGTGACTCATCTGACCACAGAACAGTCTTCCATTTTGCCACACTCCATTTTAAATGACCCCTGGCCCAGTGCAAATGATGATTGATGATTGAGAATCTTCACCAGCCATGAGAAGTGTTAGAATTAGCTGCTTCTGCCACACAGATTTCTATGAAATTGACTGTATAAATCAAAACTGAAGGTTAGCACTGTTGCCTCACAGCAAGAGATCCTCGAGTTGGACCTGAGCCTCTGTGTGGAGTTTACATGTTCTCCTCATGTTTCTGTGGGTTTTAGTCCAAAAACATGCGTGCTAGGTTGCCTTCAGGCCAGGCCTTAAGAATTAAAGGACTGTGAAGCCGTTGTGAGTTCACCCAGCATTAATTTTCACAAAAAATGAATCTGACTGGCCTAACCCAGTGGTTCTGTAGTTTACTGTGATATTGATCTTTCTACCAGTTCTACTGAAACCCGTCCTCCAGTTCCACTGCCACACCAGCCATGTTCTTGGATTATCCTGCAAGGCAGGGATAGTCCAGAGAAACTCACCTCTCTTCACTCTCTCCTTTTTTTCTCACCTCCCACCCAATCACAACCTCCTCATCCTCATGCTGTCATCACCCGTCATCCCATCCAGACTACACGTCATACTGTGACGACCCCGTGTGTTTATCACCTGGTAAACCAACAACTAAACCCCAGCCTGACACCACCGCCTGCACGGAGTGTGCTGCACGTCTCAGAGCACGCTGCCCTGTTCTTCACTGTGAACGTGTCGTTTTAAAAGATAAATCAACGCTCAGCAGGGCAGTCATCATGTTTCTGCCACAATAATGGTGTAATGTGAATCTGATGATGTTGTGAAGGTTTATAAAATAACCATCATGTGGATTATGCTATGACAGAGTTGAGATGGGAATCGTTTTAAGACAATCCACTTTGGTCCTGCTCAGCCAGACAGATGGATCTGGTTTGAATTTACCGCCATTTTTACAACTATTTTATACATTTTACAGAAGCGTTGACTTCTCTTTTAAACCTTGATGCTCCATTTTAATAACACCGACTTTAGGTACATTGACTTATTTACCTGAATGCCTGTTCTGGTGTGCTGAAAACTTTGGATTGTCAAGTTTCTCTTTTACACATGGAAGATTTCTGGTATTTGAAAGTAAAAGTAACAGAAATATACATTTTTATTTTTTATTTTTTTATCACAAACTCCAGAACAGCCTGCATGCTTTTTTTTTTTTTTTTTTTTTGTTTTACATCATTTCAACATCTCAAGCCTGCATCTCATCATTGGACCGTAGCCACCAGTAACAAATTGTTTTGATGTTTATTTGTCATATGCAGGTTAACACAAGGTCATCAATATAATGAAAATTAATGTTCAGGATGAGAAGAACTGATTCGACTCGCCAAAAACAAACAAACAAAACTAACAAGAAATGCAAATTACGCAGTAAGGGTACAAAATAAAGTACCAAAAAGTGAAAAAGAAATGTAACATTTACAAGGTCCAAAATAAAAATAGTAAACAACAACATGGTAGAATATAACAGTGCAAGTAGGATGAGTTTTTTATAAATAAGTATTTCACATAGTAATATAAGCTTAAATGTACATGATATATGTTGCACGTAACTAACATAAACTACACAGGTTATTGCACAGGCAGTGAGTAACACTGAGATACACACATGATGCAGCCACATAGTGCAGCACCAATAAACATATTAGCTGTCACAGATGTGTCTTAGTTCAATGTTATTGTAAAATTGTAAAACAGTTTCCAAAATGTCTCAAAACGTTTGCGAAGGAGTCGCCGAGTCTCGCTCTCATGTCACCATCACACATTTTGTCTCAGATATTCACAGAGTCGTCTCATTTTAGTTTCCACGCGTCAGAAAGAGCAGGACATGTGAGACAACTTTGGGAGGGACCTGTGGCACCAAACGGATACTGAACGGAGACAAAACAGCAAGTCAATTGCAATCAAACAATTAGGGCTTTCATGTAATTGACAAAAAAAACATTTACTTGCCATTTGCATGAAAATAATGTAAATATCTTTATTTATTAAACGTTACAAAAACCAAAACCTGACGTAAATACTAATTTAGTGACATTCCAAATAAAAATGTACGTATTTTCTCACAATTTTGTGCCTCCAACGAGCTGCTGACAGCACTTAGTAAAACAGAACACAAATAATTCAGGCTTTTCTACTTTATCATTATCTTGACATTGATGAAAAAGGTCCCAAGATGAACTTTTGAGGTGTGGAAAAGGCAAATAATTCACATATTTTTTATTTTATAAAGCTTCTTTCCTGTGTAGCAACAATTTCTCTGTGTTTCCCCTTCCATTTATTCGGCTGCTTTAATTTGTCACCCATCAGTTCTTCCTTTCGGTCAAGTTTTAGGTGCACAGTAACCAGCTCTTGGTGCAGAGCGGCGAGAATTTGTTTTAAGTGTTTGGTTCTGCTCGTCCTCACGGACAAAGAGAAACCAAGAAGCCTCCTGGCTCTGGATTTGTTTTCCACCTGTAAACCTTTTTTTAACGATAATCATTCGCACAATTTAGAGGCCCAGGCAATCACCAGAAAAATAAAAATGAAATAAAGAAAACTTCCTGGGGAAAAGAATAATCATCTGTCACTTACTCCTAATGCAGAAGAATCAATAAACGCTCCTCGTCTTCCATTTAAGTCAAGGAAACATCTTTGTTTTCAGGGTTAAGTGATTTGAGAGGGAAATGCAAACAAAAGGCAAATGTCTGTGCGTCGTCATTATCTTCCATTTTCTGTGGCAAATATTTGCACGGTGATGGAAACAAAAGTGCCGTGCTGCATCTTTAATCACATGGCTGCCCCCCCACCCCCTGCACAAAACACTTCTGTACAAAAGAACCATGTGGGTGTATTGGAAAATAACAAGGGCACATTTTTGAACATCAGGGGAAATGTGCAACTATAACAGTTAATGATGGCATTCTTATTTGTCTTGTAGCGAGGATGAAAATACTTTATTAATGATTATTTTTAATTCTTTTTATTTTTAACAACCAGGAGGCTTCAGGGTGTCGTAAAAACATCAAATAAACTCAAGTTTGAAAAGAAACGAAATGGCAGAAAATAAGCACTGGCGCAGATGAACGCCGTGATTCAGAGGAAAACTGAGCAGACTGACACGGAGAAGGTGGAGAAACTAACAGCAACGAGTTCAGTCACCTTTAGAAAGCTGACGTCTTTTTTTTTTAGAGAGAGGGAGACAGAAAAAAAGATTTTAAGCACAAATGATTTCCTTTTTTAAAAGGAAAAAACAGAGCTTAGACTGTGACAGATGGACAATGTGGACAGATGGTCATTAAGACAGAATCTGTCTCCATGAAGGACAGAAACACCAGCAGGCATCAATGAGCTTCTCTCAGATTTGTCTATTGAAGCTTCTCTTTCTGATTTTTATTATCACCCACCGCCAGGCTGTGCTCTTGTCTGTGTTCTTTTATCTCTAATGTTAGCAAAATATCTCATAAAACTGTTCAGATTTCAATAAAACGTTCATAGAGTAACCATTCGAGGTACATCTGATGAGTCATACTCATTCAAAATAGCCACTGCAGCTAATCAACTGTAGCGAACACAAGAATGGCTACAACTGTTAATTTTACAGATACTGAGCTTCAGTTTGGGGTGGTAGTGGCTGAGCATGATCTTCAGTACAAACTGCAAACACTACAGATTCTGCTGTTTTTGTCCCAAACTGTGACAGTAACCTATCCTGATGCATGCTCAATAATCCAGGTAGAAAAATCCAAAAAAGTTCAATCTGGTCCTCTGGACATTCAAAAAAACAAAAAACAAAACAAAGCAAAAAAATCTAGAAACGTTTCGTCTCTCATCCAAGAGACTTCCTCAGTCTGAGGTGCTGTATTCAGCTCAGTCTCTTAAATAGCACCTTCTCAGAGTGGATCAACCAGTTTGCTGCTGACAACCAAAACCAGCTGATCACATGCTCAAGAAGGACCATCAGCCTAACAATGGGTCATTAGCACACTGATGGCTGTGACAGTAACCGTTGAAGTCAACGCTGTCTGTTAGCAAAATATCTCATGAAGTATCGAACAAATACATTTTAATTTGTCTCAGGACTGGATTTTCAAATCAGTAATACTTGAAGCCAACCCAGTTCAAGATGGCCGCCACAGCTAATCAACCTTAGCCATCATAGAAATAGCGATAAGTAGTCAGATGTAGAAATCTTGAGGCATACTTGGTGTGGTAGTAGCTGAGAGTCATTCCCAACACAGTCTGGCAACCCTTCACGGATTGCCAGAATCTTTAATTCTTAAAACGTTTTATTTTCAGGATTTCCACTTTGCATGTCTGAGGCTATATATATATTTTCATTATTATTATTTTTTTTTTTTTTCCTACGGTCCTCTAGGGTTTTGGATTCGTCCTAAACTAAAAACTGAAAAGCAAAGCAAACACAGGTTTGTAAAATCAGGAAGAGCAAAGGAGACATGAGATGGAGGACATCGCGTAAAATAGAAAGATAAAAGATTTAAAGAGACAACAAAGAGGAGGCTAAACATGAGCAAAGGGAATAAAAATGACCAAAGAGAAGGTGAAACTTGAACTTTTTATCCCTGGTCTACCTGGCAGAGAGCGCAGTGCCCATCAGAGAAATGTCAGCGCATTAATCAGTTGTTTATGAGGCTCCATTAGTCGGTGCAACTCCTCCACACTGGGAGAGAAACGGGCAAAAAAGCATCTTCCATCTGGCTGAGGGAAAATTAAAGAGATCCACAGAGAACATCAAAACAATGCATTTAGTGCTTTGGAGGCAACTGTTATAACACACACACACAGAGAGAGAGAGAGAGGTGAAGACTGTAGCATTTCCTGCATCCATCAGAGAAAACAGGCAAAGCAGCACTGTAACAACATGTGATCACAGTTTCTTAAAGCGTCTGCAGCTAAAATCAGTCATTATTTCACACTCACACACTGAAGTAAAACTACCAGCTTGCCTTTTTCAGATAGAAGATAACAGTTCAGCAGAAAATCATACCTTTGCTCTTTTATTTCAGCAACAGATAAAATTACCCCAAGAATACACTGTAAGAAATGATACGGGCAGAATAAATTTTGGATGAAGATATTTAACATAAAACATCCCATGACTTTATTTGTTAGAAAAAGAAAAAATGCATCGTAATTTCATTGTTCTTACAACAACACACAGAAAAAAACTGGGTCAAAATGTAATTATGACAAGATTTATGTAACACCTAAATAAAACCTGGAAATAGTACAGCTACTATAAAGTACACTATAAAAATAAAAACATTTTTAGTTAATTTTTAGAATTTTCCATCCATAAATTGTATTGGCCTTACAGGGAAAAAAAAAAAAGCATTAACATATTTTACATATGTGAAAAAAATATATAATATATAATATTTTTGTATAATAATTCTTTATTTCATTTCAAACAGTTAAAAATTTCAACAAAACCATAAACAAATAAAAACGTAAATATTTCCACCAAAATATTCTGGCAGCAAACAAAAATGTTCAAAAAGGGAGCAGGAAGAAGCAAAGGCTTATCCAGTCCTGTCCCTAAATTTACATTCACATTCTGAACCAAACCAGTTTCGTAAAAAATTCAGAACACAAAAACACAAAGTGTAGACCCAAAAAAAAGTGTAGGTAGTGTAGGTAGACACACAAACTTATTATACCTTCACTATAATAATATGTAATAATATATATAATACATCAAAATCAAAGCAGCAGAATTTTTCCTATATAATTTTCTAAAACATATCAAGGAATTCCAGCTAAATTGATACAAACTCATAAACAAATAATAAAAAAGAAGAAAAAAAACTATCAAACCTTACTATATATGTTTATTAAATTATTTTTATACTTTTTTTTATTTAAAGAGTGAAAAACACAGTTGAAATCCCTTACAACAACTATTCCACACCTGAATCCCTCTAACTGAAGACTAACTATATAAATAATAATAAAAAACATATATATAACAAAAAACATGCATTAAACTGTAAATAAATAATAAATATATCTAAATAATCTCCTGTTAACACATTATTGAAAATTCTACAAAATCACACAGGTTGTACAAAAAACTTTTTATCCAGTTGAAAGGATGTGATTTATGTGTGTGCAGTTCATGTGTTTTTCATGTACAGGTGATTATAATTCATTATTTCATTGAGTTATTAAGTTCGAGTCAGTTTATAGCAGAGATCTCTGGCAGCTGAAATCAGCTGACATCAGATGAGAAAAACTAAACAAAAACTGACGGTTCAGAGAGCCATGAAATGTTAACTCGAGTTATATCAGTGACTAGCAGCATCTTGTTAGCTGTTTAACTAAACGTCTTAGAGGAGGATATTAAAGAAGAAACAATTTGTGAAATGACTTATAAAGTCAGTCCTTATAAACATTTATAGTACATTTCTTCCAGGTGTTCTGCAGTTGTTTTCTCAGAAAGCCAAATTATCCATCAAGATTCAAAACCAACAAAGTCCATGCACAATAATCCAGGTATACAATCCAACAATTTTCAATCAAGTCATCTGGAAAGTTTCTTTTCTTTTTTTTTTGTTGTGCTGAAACATTTCACCTTCACCTGATGAAGCCTTCTGGATGGAAGGTGAAACGTTTCAGCACAAAAAAAAAAAAGAAACTGTCCAGATGACCTGACTGAAAGTTGTTGAATCCTTCAAGATGTTCCTCTTGTTGAGCACAAAATGAACAAGAGCCGTGTTTTCTGTTAACCCTGGTTTATAATTGGCTGATCTGAAGATCTTAAAAAGAAGATGTGCACAGTTATGATTGGTTTTCATTTCAAAGTGGTATGGACGTATATTAATGTTTGATTTATTGAATATCTGTATTTTACACTCCTGTAATGGAAAAGTCAGTGAGAGATTGCCTTATATCTGTACAGACAATGTCAAAGGCAGCAGAACAGGTAAAAATTATTTTTATTATGTGTGTTGTCTCTAAACATAGCATAAAAAATAAGTAAAATGTGTTTTTAGTTGGTTTATTCTTTTTCATAACCATGCATCTTGACAATGAAACTTTTGAAACTATTATTCCTTAAAGGGTGTCACGTTTGTTAGGAAAATGCATTTGTGGGTTGAGCCGCAGAGGTGAGGGTAAGGGCTGCACCCATTACAAATTCATGTTCTGCTACTGGCTCTTGTTTTGAGATTCTGGAACCAGTGAGCAACCAGTGGCAATCTCATTTCCACAGTATGGGATAAAACTCAATCCTCCAAGATGGCATGGCTCATCCCCACAGAGCAGGGTTTATCAGAAACTACCTTCATAATTAGGAAATGGAGAAGAAGGAAAGGACTCCTTGCAGTCCAGACCTCACCTCTGATCTTGAGTTCGCTGTTCATTCCAGAGTGACCAGCACAACCACACTGGCTGACTTGTGACAAATCCTGGTTGACAATGAGATGCCTTCCCACAGCATTGTTTGACCCAGCTGGTGAGCAGCATGAGGAGGAGGTGCCAGATTGTTGTGGCTGTGTATGGTTCTTCCACATGCTAATGGGCCCGTTTATTTAATATGTAAATTGTTAAATTATCAATATGTCTTGTTTATTCAGATTTCAATTCTCCAGCACAATACACTAAAACAAGAATCAATAGCATCCATCCATTATCTTTAACTGTGTCGTTCTTTTCGAGTTACAGGGGTCACTGGTGCCCATATCCACCAGTCACTGTGCAAGAGGAGGGGATGCCCTGGACAGGTCTCCAGTCCATCACAAGGCGGTTCAATAGCATAATAATAATAATAATAATAATAATAATAATAATAATAATAATAATAATAATAATGAACCCACATACTCAAGCTTGCTGCTCAACCCACAAATGCATTCCTTAACAAATGTGTCACCATTTAAGAGGAAATAGGCTTTTCAACAACATAAGACTTATTACCAAGAAATATCAGCCACCTTTTATTTTTTACATTTTGTGCTAAATATATCTTGCTGTGTTTTCTGCAACGTGTACTAACATGTTTGAAAAGAGAGTTTTGAACGTGATGTTTTCTTTTATCATATTTCTTGCATGCAGTGCGCTGAAGGTCCACCACTTGTTGCTGGGACTGGTTGAAAAACAAGAAAATGTTGTATAATGTGTTTATCCTGGCGTGACTCACTTTACAATGTTGCTTTCTATCATTTATGTTTTCCTTCGCTCTTTCCTCCTCTTTCTGTTTCTCTCAGCAGCATGTGCTTCACATCACACGGTCTCTTTTTCTGTTTTTAATGCTGTGCTTGTGTGTTTCTCCTGCTCAGGTCTCCCTCCTCCATCAGCCTTCGGCAAAAGGGGTTTTAAGGCTCGAGGCAAGCCGACACATGGCATTCACTTGCTCATAAAACTCTCTAGTTATCTAATATTATTCAGTAATTTCTTCTTAGGCATCCAACTGTGAATAAAACCGAGACGTTAAGCATTATGATGACCCAAATTACAGCTTAACAGCTGCATGGACAGAAAATTCCAGCTGCACATGGATTTTATTGTATAATACTGTATATTTGGCTAAAAACTTGAAAACAGAATCAAACTAGAGAAAATGCATTTCCTCCAAAGATGCAGAATGCTTTTTGCTGGAAAATTAGCTGAAAACTGCTGAAATTAGCTAAAAATGCTAAAAATAAGTAGCTGAGAAAGTAGAACAAGCTTAAATTAGCAGAAGAAAGCAGAATGAATATGTTTGCTGAAAGAAGCAGAAATGAGCATAAAAATGTGGAAATTGAAAAATGCTCACATTAGCAAAAGCAGATGAAAAGTAGCTGAAGAGGCAGAAAGAAGCTGAAATTACCAGAAGGAAGATGAGAGAGCATATTTTTGCTGAATTAGATGGAAAAAAGTTGAAATGAGTGTAAAAATGTGGAATTAGCTGAAAAGGCTAAAATTAGCATTAAATCAGTGTTATAGTAGCTGAAATAGCAGAAAAATCTAAATCTTGTAAATAAGCTGAAAGGAGCACAAAACTGCTGAAAAAATAGCTGAAAATAGCTGGAAAAAGTTTAAATTTGCACAAGGAAGCTGAAAGCAGCTGAAGCAGAACAAAATGTGAAAGGAGCAGTAAACGGTTGCAAACAGATCTAAAGATTGGAAAGATGTAAAATGAGCTCAGTTCATTTTCTATGAGGAAAAAAAAAAGTGGCAGAAAAGGCTAAATATTTCAAAAAGCTAAAGTTGCACCAATACCAAACGTCATAGCAGGATTGTCCTGAAAGAGCTGAATGTTTTGATATGATTTGTTGAAATAGCTTGAAAACTGTAGGATGAGAATCACGCTGAAAAATGTACGGAAGAAAAATGGATCAAAATAGTGTGAATATGCTTCATAAGCGTTCACACAATAACGGGCTATAGATATATAACTTTCTTTGCATAAAGAACTGAATTCTTTACAGTATACAGAAGTGGAAACATCTTCAACACGCTGATAAAGAAGATCCATTTAAAGCAGCATTTATTTCTGCAGCAAAACAAGTATTTTATATATATTATCAAAGCAAAGGCAGTCTGAACCAGAATTAAAGAAAAAACATACATCTCTGGAGAAAAGAGAGGAAAGAATTGCAAGCCATGACTGACACTGTCAGTCTTTTGATCACAGATTTTATGAAACAGTTTAAAGTCTGTGAATCTGAACCTCAGATTTTCTTTTAGCATGGTGATCCAGTCAGCAGCATGAATGAATGAATTCAATCAGACACCGTGGAAAGAGAAACACAGAAAAGATGAACAAATCCAAATGCATTTGGATTAAAACACAACCTTTTTGGTAGAAAACTATGAAAATATAATTACACAAATTCGCAAAAAAAACAAGCAACGAAGAGTGTGAGTATTTTTGTTGTTACACTTTCAAAAGATACACAGATATAAGCAGGTACCGGCCATGGTTGCTGGTTTATGTTGTGAACGCATTATTTACACCTCACCTAGGCAACCACATGCATATTTCTGATGTATCGTAGCGACCGCATCGTTAAATGGTTTATTTATGTTTCGATTTATTATTTAGCCTTTATTCAAACAGAATAAAAGTGCCTCTAAGATTAAAACTCTTTTTACAAGAGCACCTAAGACAACACAGGCAGCATTTTAATCAGCAGTAAATAACAAAATGCTCACAACATGTACACAGCGTCTTCATATTGTAAGGCTGAACTACAAAGATAACAACAATCGTGAACTGTAGATCAAATAAAACAGAAAAGTATTAACTCAACTATATTTCAGCGAGTGCAGGTGGAAGTAGTGCAGTTGTAGTTTATACATGGTTTGAAGTCAAAAATTTAAAATTGTTCACAACTTTCAGTTTAAACATTAAGGTTGCTTTTCTTATTTTCATTCAACCTTAATTTATACAGGTTAATCCCATTGAGCCTCTTGGACTCTAAAAACAGGAACATGTCTGCACTGGTTTTTCCCAGGAACTTAACAGATGTTTAAAGACACTTAGAGAGGTCAAAGTCAACAACTTCAGATCTTTTTTCAAGATATTCCAGAAAACAGGAGTGGAGTAGGAGAAGGCCCTTTTGCCTTGTTCGGTCTGCACTGAGGGAACACTGCAGGTAATAATGTCCTGAGAGGGAATGCTGTAGCTGCACTCACGCAGAGACATGTAGAAGGAGATTTATGAAGGCAACAATCAATTTACAACATTTCTTTGAAGAGAAGACAGGCTTTAGGCGAGCCGATTTGCCCTGTTGGCACGCACGCAGCTGGAAATCTCATTGACTTGGAAGACTTAATGATGTGTCTATCTCTGCTGCCATCTGTGGATTTTAAGGACATATATTTAATTGGTTTTTTGATAACTGGTTCATACTTTTTGGATTCGGCTGGTTGCTGGTTTTATCAATCAATCAAGGAAGTCGTCGGCAGCAAATTTGGACCCGATCACGCTGCTTGCCTTTATGATGGCTGGTTTCGTGTCTCGAGTACCCAGACTCAAATGCTTTGGGCAGAATGGATCAGATCTTGGGGATTTTACTCAGGCACGTTCCTTTGGTGTGGTCATGTATTTTGGACATTTCGGAACCGAGTGGACCAACACAGACTCAAGGTAGATGCCATTAAGTTCTGCCTGTCCCTAAAACAACTGTGTTTTTATCTGAATTTGGCTCCCTTGGCTGGCCTTGAAGGCCATCTTATCTGAATTTGCCGGAGAACATGTGATCTGATGCTCACCAACCCTCCCCGAGGAATTTCCAACTGATAATCAGATGAAACCAGCTGAATAAACTTGTCATCATTTCAGGACTCTTGGATTCTCATAGATGTTATTCTTGGCCATTCCTGGCCAGTGGGAGAGTCTGTGTGAAGTTAATGATGTCCAGTTAACCAGTGAATACAGGGTGCAATGGTGTGTACGCTTGTTACAGCCAGTTATGAATCTTAGTGCACCATGATAGACAGCGTCCAACATCTACAGGGTGCTTGTAGGAGCGTCCATGTACTTTGTAAATAATGTCACCGTAATCAATGGAGGGAAGGAAAGTCACAGATACAAAGTGTTTCCTAGCATTCAGAGTTAGACAGGATCTGTTTCTGAAAAAGAAACCCAGTTTAACTTTGTTTCCTTACTAAGTTTTCCACATGGAGCTTAAAAGAGAGATGCAAATCGACCATAATACCCAAGTATTTGTAAGAATTGACAAACTCAATAGAGACACCATTCAAGGATAAAATCAATGGAAGAACTGCTGGGACCATCCTCCTGTTTGAAAACAGCATCCCATTGGTTTTGTTGGCGTTTAGGACAAATTTGAGGCAGAACAAATCTGACTGGATGATGTTGAAAGCGGATTGCAAAAGCTGGAAAGCCTTAGCAACTGTTTTAGTATGACAATAAACAACTGTGTCATCAGGATAGAAATGTAAGGATGCATCAGGGATGCTCTGACCTACATATGTAGATTGTAAAGAGGGTGTGTCCTAAGACTGAGCCTTGTGGTACACCATTGTTGACTGTTAAATAACTTGAGGAAGTACCGTTATGTTGAACACATTGCCTCTGATCTGAGACAGAGTTAGTGAACCAATTAATGGTGTGATCTGAGAAACCAATTTCTGAGAGCTTACGACACAAGATGTTATGATCCACAGTGTCAAAAACTTTAGACAGATCTAAGTAAAGTGCAGCACAATAATCCTTAGCATCCAGTGCTTCAACAATGACATTAAAAACCTTCTGCGAAGTTATTGTTATCAGCTGGGTTTGTCAATTTAGATGTTAAAAATAGCTGCTACAATCTTAGAAGCAAAATTAGCACCTTGACACCCTTTGGTTTATTAGGCCAAAGAAAGACAAAGGTTGACCAAGGATCACTTTCATCATTACAAATATGCGAGTTTATGACCACACAATTCAGTCAAAACATGGAATAATCAGTAAGATGTTTACAGTTTGTAATGAACATCAGCTCTTTTATTGGTCTAACCAATAAAAACTTAAAGATACAAATAAAATATTATTAATTTAGCTCCAAGTTAGTCTGAAAGGAAAGGCAAGAGATTGATAGAGATTTTTTTTTTAAAAACTGTATTAAATGCAATTTTATTTAATTGTAGAATATTTATTGTAAAGACTTCAATATTTTACATTTAATGCATTCTAATTAATTGTTGAAAAATCCATGTTTCATTGCTTTGCGCTGAGAACAAACTTTAAATGAGAAGTTGAGCAGTAGTTGTTTTAAGTTATAGCAAGCCTTTCGTTGTTTGGATGCAAGGCAACACATCATGGTATCATCAGCATAATGCTTCACCCTGAAGCTTTTCCCAATTCATAAAATAAACATACTTAATCAACAGCATTGATTAAATATAAGAGAAATTAAATAATAATTTAAAAAGAACTAGCTTAACATAGATTTAAAAGGTTGAAAAAGGTCGTCAGGACCAAAGAGCACATTTCCAGTCTCAAAGATGCACATTATAAAACATTTAGTTAAATAGCCCTTTTTTATTTGTGAAAATAAATGACAAAGTCCTGCATCAATTAATATGTTTTTTTTTTTTTTTTATGTTAGTTGGAGTTCGCGCAGTTAAGTCAGGCCCAGCTGTCATCGAGACTCAGGAGAGCTCTGATTGGCTGGAGATGGTTTGGACGTTTGTAGCCAGTCTGGTCGCGCCTGATCAGGAAGAGGAAGGTATTCATCACCTAACTGAAACCCTCACATGTAAGAAAATACTTCTCACAGTAATTACTTATCAAATAATCATAATTACTAATAACTAATGTCCTAATGCTCATTCCACCAAATATTTTGTTAAGGTCAAAACCTTTACACAAACACACACAGTGCTGTGAGAATAACATTCAGAGTTTAGCTGAATATGAACAAGATAATTTTTCTGACAAAGTGTTATATACCTTTTAAAAATTATGATTATATAAGAGTCATGCTAACTGCATTTTAAACATTTGTTTTATTTAAACGTCATTTCAGTTGCTGTTCTGTGTGGCTGCTTGCAAGCAGCAAAATATACATAATATTACGCAAGGTGGATGGATTCATTGAAAGATAAATATTTTCAAGGCTAGAAAATATCAGACCCTTTCATATTCAGTGAACAACAGGAAAATTACTGTTAATGCACGGTATAAACAATTTTGTCACAAACGGTAATCATTTTGCATGTAAATAAATGATTTTCTGTGACAAAGTAATAATTGGTCATTCATCATGAGCATCATTTCTGAACACTCTTTTGTTTGTTTGTTTGTTTGTTTGTAGCTTTCCATTCAGAGGAACTCTGAGTAAAAGGAGGTGGAATTAAAACAAGAAAAATGGACGTGATATGTGGAGGGAAAGTGTGAATAAGGAGGACGAACCAGTTTGAAATGATCTGAACATGTCTAACACAAGTATAAAAGAAAATGAGTGGAACTTTTAAAAAAAAGGCATCACGTCAGAGAAATGTTTGTTTCTGTGTGTTCACAGTAATTTGCTCAATAAAAGATCGACATTAAAAGCCTTGCTTTTTCCCCTTATGTTTGCAATTTTAATTTAATTTAAAGAGCTAATTTTTGTTGCTAGGAAACAGCAGGCCCAGGGTGTCACCCTTGCACGACGCTCGACTTTGACTCTTGGAGAAGTGGCTTCCTGTTTTTTTTCTATCGAGTCCAGGAGCTCACCAGCAAGGACCAACTTCCACCCTACACCTTCCAGGGCTTGCACCAGGAGGGTATTCTGGTTTTCCCGTACTGGCTGAGGTTGCCTGTTCCTGAGTCCCATTGGTCATTGGATGTCCTACCAGAAGCGAACACCCTGAACAACATAGCCCAGAGGTTCTCAAACTGCTCCACCACATTATTGTGGTGCCTCGGGTTCTCATCTCTGCTTTTTGTGGATGATGTTGTTCTATGGGGGTCTTTAAGCCATGAGCTTCAGCGTGCACCAAGACAGTTTGCAGTGGAGTGTGAAGCAACTGGGATGAGAGTCAGCTCCTCTAAGTCTGAAGCATTGCATCTTGACCAGAAAACTTTGGGATGCTTCTTCTGGATTGGAGACGAGTCTTTGACTCAAGAGGAAGAGTTCAAGCATCAGGGAGACTTATTCAAAAGTGATGGTAGGATGAAATGGAGCAACAGCACCACCAGCCTGATCAAGGGGGCTCGTCAGAGACTCTGCTTCCTCAGGCGGCTGGGGCGAGCTGGTCTGGGGGGCTCGGTCCTCGCCTCCTTCTGCAGGTGTGCAGTGGAGGGCGTCCTGTGCTCGGGCATCGGTGTGTGGCGTGGAGGCTGCACGGCTGCGGGGAGGGGGGCTTTGCGGAGAGTGGTGGGGGCTGCACAGAGGTCTGTTGGAATCGGTCTCCCCACCGTCGCAGACGTCTGCACCTCCGGATGCGGGGGGAGGGCCGCCTGCATCATGAAGGACCCCACCCACCCAGCACACACACTTTTTGCCCCACTCCCCTCAGGGGGGAGGTTGAGGAGCATTGAGTGTGGAACCACTAGACTGAGGAACAGCTTCTACCCTGAGGCTGTTAGACTCATGAATCTCTGACTAGAATAGTCACTGTGAAGAACCATGTCGTGTTGCTGCTGATCTGTTTCGTGTTGCTGCTGATCTGTTTCAATGTTGATGTGTTCATGCGTGCGCATCTGCTCGCGGACTCGTGTTCATGTTTGTGCTGATGTTCAATGTTTTGTGTTATGGGTGCTTGGTGTATGTTTGGTTGATGTTTTTCTTGGTTCATATCTTGGATGTTATAGCTGTTTTTCTTGGACATTTTATTGTTGGATGTAACTGGGACCCTGTGTACATAATTTCGCTCCACCACATGTACCACATGAGGTGCGAATGACAATAAAGAAATTCTGACTGACTCTGAAATACAGATTTACAGATTCAGGCTTCTTAAACAGTAATGAGGGCGTTGCTCCAGCCCAGTGCTGTAGTGTAAGTTGTAGGGGAACACCTCATCTCAGAAAACAGTTAATCTCAGCTTAAACAAAAAAAAGTTCACATCATTTCAAACAAACATCATTCATGTGTTTTGTGTTTGAAACTGTTTGAAATAAGATGCATGTATTCCCTTGGGAACAAACAGACTTTGCCTTACAGGTGTCCAGCTCAGCTCACTAACTTCTTAGTTGACACTAATGAAAGTGTAATAAAAAAAAAAAACTGTCACTGTGTTAACTTCACTGCCAATATGAACTCATTTCCCATGAAACGGACAGATCGTTTAATGAGTTTTGGTTCAACTGACCTCGAAGTTGAAACATCTGCTGAGACTTTACCTTTATCAAAAAGGAGTACTTCTCCCAGAATCGTTCCCGTGAAGATAACACATTTGAAAGAACCCTTTGTTTAATGACATTTACTTTTCAGGGGATGGACAGCGACACCTTTTGGAGAAACATTGCCTGCTATTAACCCCAAAATGTAATTTTCTGTAAATCTTCAGAACTGAATGTTTATTTATGAAAATGTGTGTTTTAAGTAATCGCTCTTTAAGATAATCATTTGTCTTATTTGTCTCTTTTGAAAGAGTAACTTTTAAAGGCAGACAGAGAAAATGGACTTTAGATTTTATCAAACATGACAGGAGTTAGGACCATCCCTCTTCCGAGAGGTGGACTAAAGTCAATCTGAAACGCACATACAGTTAAGTTAAGTTTCACTTCTTTCTACAACAGTGGTGGGGAGTAACGAAGTACAAGTACAAGTACTTCGTTACTGTACTTAAGTACAATTTTCGTGTATC